CCTATCGCCTCGTGTCTTTCTGAAGTTTCCATTATGAATAACCCCTCAGAATGGAGGGACGGAATCTGATTTTACATTATAATTACACTCCCTGTTCCTGGGCCTTTTCCTCCAGATTAATTTCTCCTTTGCAAGTTGCTTTCGTTCCTTCCCCTCCATAGATATTTCTTCAAAAGGCGAGCGGACGAGCTGGAGTTAATTAGTGGTTAACCCAGCCCCGGTTCATCCAGCGTCAGGGGTGCCCGGGCTGGGATTCTTCGCAGCTGCCCCGAGGGGCCCGTGGAGCTGCCTCACAGTGAACGGGAACGAGGGAGGGGAGCCGCCGGGACTCACAGCGGGAACAGGTGCCGGCGAGTCTCCCTCAGTCACATGGAGCACCGCCCGCGGCCACTTTTCTAAAACAAAAACAATCCTAGTCAAACAAATTAGGGGAAATGCAATCGGAATCCTGGTTATGATGTGGTTTGCTTTTCCCCGATAACATAACCATTTCACGTGCACATTTCCCCGTCAGCCCATGCCCCGGCCAGGGTAACGGGAGAGGCCTGGGGGAGGGTGATGGTGGAACAGTGTCATCATGGGCCTTGATAGTTCAAGTTCTATTTGTTTTATTTCTGTTCTCAACTGAAAGGAAGTAGGATTGATCTTATATCTGAACGGCATACGTTTCTTAAATTTTTAATAGACTTTTCAGTGTGTGTGTGTGTGTGTGTGTGTGTGTGTACAGGTGGGGTGTGTGTACAGGTAGTTTGTGTGTGTGTGTACAGGTGGGGGTGTGTATATGTATATATGCACAGGTGAGGGTGTATACAGGAAGTATGTGTGTATGTATGTACAGGTGGGGGGTGTGTACAGGTAATGTGTGTGTGTACAGGTGTGGGGTGTACAGGTGGGTGTATACAGGTAGTGTGTGTGGGTGTACAGGTGTGGGTGTGTACAGGTGGGTGTGTACAGGTATGGGGTATACAGGTAGTGTGTGTGTGTGTGTACAGGTAGGGTGGGGTGTACAGGTAATGTGTGTGGGTGTACAGGTAGGATGTGTGTACAGATTGGGGGGTGCACTGGCATGTGTTCAGTGGAGCCATCATGAATGATTTTCTGGTCAGTTTTCATCTATCGACACGGATACCTGGAGAAGTGATGTTCTGTCAGTCGGGACAGCATGCTATCATGCAGTCCCCGGAGCCTTCCAGTCCGGCCTCGCTCCTCCCTCATTAGCTGCCTATCTCTGGCCGCCCTGCTTACCTGCTGCGAGCCTGGCTTCCTCATCCGAGGAGGAATGGCGCCTACTTTGAAGAGCTGTGATTAAAAAGCGAGCAAAGTACAAACACATGTATTTGCCCCGGGCCTGGCAGGAGTGTCCACTTTGCAAACAGACAGGTGTGTCGTTGACTCTGAGAGGAGAGGGGCGCCCTGTTTTCACAGGGACCTTGGCGTTTGGACAAGGGACTGGTGGCCGTCAGATTAAATCCGTGTGAGCAGATCAGGCCGCGCCCCAGCCCTTCCCGGAGTGTCCGCTGGCTCCCAGGAGCACTTTCTTCCGGAGGGACCCAGTCTGCCTGGGGGAGGCAGGCCTCGGAATGGCTCGCCTGAGATTTCGGAACGGGAAGAGCGCTCAAAAGCGCCCACAGTGGTTCTCAGCCTTGGGTGCGCGCTGGCGAGATTTTAAGAAACAAAAACAGGTTACTGATGCGCAAGTCCTGCCCTGAGCGATTCCGAGGGAAGAACAGAGCCTGTCCGGCCAGAACAACATTTTAAAATTCCCCGAATGTGTTTGTTTTTTTTAAGCGTGCTTTATTTGTTTGTTTTTTAATTGATTTCAGGGAGGAAGGGAGAGGGAGAGAGACAAAAACATCCGTGATGAGAGAGAATCGTGGACCGGCTGCCTCCTCCACGCCCCACACTGGGGATCGAGCCTGCAACCCGGGCCTGTGCCCTGACTGAGACTCGAACCCTGACCTCCTGGTTCATAGGTCAATGTTCAACCAGTGAGCCACACTGTCTGGACTCTCTGGGTGTGTTTAGTATGTAGAGTTAAAAAATAACTGGGTATGACCTACAAATGATCAACTGTTTGGGGTAGAGGAGCAGAGGAGTCCCAGTGGCTGCGACAGGATGAGCTGGGAGCGTGTCAGGGAGGAGCGAGGGAGGGCAGCCAGGTGGCCTCTCCACGGGTCTCTGCCCTTGATGGAGGCCCCGCTGCACTCCTGCTCAACCTTCAGGATGTACTTCTGGACCCTCCCAGTCACCACCTGCGGCTGGTTTCCTTCTTGCAACCAAAAGAGTACATTCTAAGCTGGAAGTTAAAAATTATGGAGGAAGGAAAATGCTTGATGTTAAGCGGGATCTGGCCAACGTGTGAGGCCCATGAATGCTTACGTCACTCTGCATGAGTGCATGATAGCGGGCATAGACGCTCTCTAGGTGAGTGCATTATAGCATGCGTGGACTCGCTCTATGTGATTGCATTATAGCATGTTTAGACGGACTCTGAGTGCCTTATAGCGTGCGTAGAGGTACATAATTTCTGCTGGAGCAGTGTTTACCGTGCCCACTGGGGGGCGCTTTGGAGAGCCTTTGCTAAAGCCAACGGTGTCTTCCCGAGGTAGAGTGGAATGTCACTGATTCCACATTACAATCTTAGAATTTCATGGACTTCTGTGTATCTGGAATGCTGCTGATTATTTCCTCTAAACAGACTCTCATCTTATTAGAAACTGAGGTGAGAAAAGGGGTTAGGTACCCAGGGTCACTGGACTTGATTTGTGGTGATTTTGTGGTGATTGCCAGGCGGGGCGGGGGAGGAGGGTAAAGAGGGATAGTGTTGACTGAGATGGGAACATGCAGCGCAGGAGCAGATGATGGGTGTGCAATTGTGCACCTGAAACCTGGGCAGTGTTGTTAACCAGCCCCCCCCCCCCCAAAAAAAAACCAAAAAAAAAACAGTCAATAAAAAGTAGGAAAACATAGTTTGAGTTTCTTTCTGGCATGTGCCATCCTAGACGCCCAAATCCCGCTAGGGAGAGGCACGCCCACGAGGACATGAGTGGAATGGGGTGAGGGAACCAGGGGGGCTTCCCGTGGGGAGGCCCACAGGACCGACTCTGAAGGAGTGGTTGGGATGCTCAGAGCAGAAGAGCCAGGCGGGAGAGAGCATTGTAGCAGGGAAAGTAAAAATGTATAAAGGCATTGCTGCTGCAGCTTTGTTTGAGAAGTTGTACATGGTTTACCAGACAGACGTAAGATGGTGCGAGGGGAAGTCGATGAGACTAGACAGTGTGGGACTCGCCTCGCCAGTTTTGCTCAATGGTTAGAGCATTGGCCTGTGGACTGAAGGATCCCCAGTTTGTTTCCCAGTCAGGGCACATGCTGGGTTGTGGGCTCTATCCCCAGTAGGGGGCGTGCAGGAGGCAGCCAATCACTGATTCTCTCTCATCATTGATGTTTCTCCCTTATTCTTTCTTCCTCTCTGAAATCAATAAAAATATACTTAGAAATAGAAAATAAATGAAAGAAAGTGTGGGACAGGGAGGAGCCCTGATCTCAACTGGGATCCTATAAGCTGAGGAGCCCACATGGGTGGAGGGAGGGAGAGACAGAGGGAGACAGACAGACACCTGACAAGCCTAAGGCCCCAGGAGGTCTCCAGGACTCCCCGCGGTCGGAAAGGGCGACACGTCCAGCAAACACCTACTGTGTGCCCGTGCCATAACGTCACAGAAGTGTTTCTAGAAAGTCTCTCCAGTCATACGAGGGGCATTAGTGTCACGTGCCTTTGCACTGGTGATTTCGGCGGTAGCTGTGTGGTACCTGTGTGGTGCCTGTGTGGTGCCTGTGTGGTAGCTGTGTGGTAGCTGTGTGGTGCCTGTGTGGTGCCTGTGTGGTGCCTGTGTGGTGCCTGTGTGGTAGCTGTGTGGTAGCTGTGTGGTGCCTGTGTGGTGCCTGTGTGGTAGCTGTGTGGTGCCTGTGTGGTGCCTGTATGGTAGCTGTGTGGTACATGTGTGGTGCCTGTGTGATAGCTGTGTGATAGCTGTGTGGTGCCTATGTGGTAGCTGTGTGGTGCCTGTGTGGTGCCTGTGTGGTGCCTGTGTGGTGCCTGTGTGGTGCCTGTGTGGTAGCTGTGTGATACATGTGTGGTACCTGTGTGGTGCCCGTGTGGTGCCTGTGTGGTAGCTGTGTGGTACATGTGTGGTGCCTGTGTGGTGCCTGTGTGGTTTCAGAAGAGAGAAGCCCCGTCATGCACATAAGACATGACCCTCCTTCCACATAAACGTCCCCCTGAGCGCCTCACTGTCCCGGGTGGCCTGAGGTGGGAGGCAGGCAGCAGACGCCGTGCCGGCCACATGGAGGAGGAGAACCACGCGCCCGAGGTGGCTTCCCCGGCTCCCGAGCAGCGGGGAGAGCCGGGAGACGGCATTTGGCAGCCTGGCGCGCCTTTGCCCATCTCCCCTCAGCAAGGCCAGCTTCACACGTTCATCTCGAAAGGCTGGGTTCCTGGGGCCAGGGGGATACATCCTGAAATTATGTTCATTTGGGTTCCCATTTCAGTGTGGTTTCAAATGGGCTGTGTTTCTATGGTTACTCTCTAGCTGCCCATTCCATGAGGGGAGATGGTATCGTACGGTTTGGCTCACTGCTAGCAGACTCCTTCTCAGTTCTCATCCTTGTAAACAGACCTTATAAACTATTGGAATTCAGCCGGCTGGGGGGCTCAGTGGTTGACCGATGACCCAGGAGGTCATGATTCCATTCCCGGTCAGGGCACACGCCCAGGTTGCGGGCTCCATCCCCAGTAGGGGGCGTGCAGGAGACAGCCGATCTGTGATTCTCTCATCATTGATGTTTTTCTGTCTCTCTTTCTCCCTCTCCCTCTCCCTCCTTCTCTGAGATCATAAACATAAAACAATAAACTACACGCATTCAGATGCTGGGTTTTGCAGAAGGTGATGTGGGGAGATCAGTGATGACTCAGACCAACCTGGCTGCTTGCTCTCCCGCAGGCCCAGCACGCAGCCACCGTGCCCGCCAGCCCCGCTCTGCCCCTCTTCCACACGCCCATCGACCTGGTGGACATCAGCGTGGAGATGGCGGGGCTGCGGTTCCTCAACCCGTTCGGCCTGGCCAGCGCGACGCCCGCCACCAGCACCACGATGATCCGCAGGGCCTTCGAAGCCGGCTGGGCCTTCGCGCTGACCAAGACCTTCTCTCTGGACAAGGTAAGGCTGCTTCTGGGCCGGGTCTCGTGTCTGGTGTGGACTCCGCTGGCGTGGACTCCCCGTGTCTGGCGTGGACTCAGCCCTGGAGGGAAAGGTTTTTCCAACCAAGCCCTGGTCGTTATGGAACTACCAGACGAGACCTATGAGCGCACATTGGTCTGAACGCTCCTTCTATTCCTTCTGCCATCGAAACGGGGGGTGTGAGTGGGGTGAGAGGTGGGAGAGAGCATCTGTTTGTCATTTTGTTTTGTCTAGTAAACATCAAACTATAAGTATTACGTGAGCAGCTGTCTCATGTAAGCATCACCATCGCATGAGTTCTTATTAATTCTTTGGTGATTTCTGGGCGTGTGAATGAGGACATGGGCCCCTCACAGTTAGGGAGACGGGGGGGGGGGTGGGGGGGGTGTGACCGGAGTGGGAGGAGTCCACCTCCTTCCTCTCTGTGACCCAGGAAGGAGCAGGGAACCGAACATTTCTGAAACCTTTATTGATGAAATTTTAAATGCGCAACTATTGATGTGTTTAGTGCTCACTGGTAGTTAGTAATAATTAATGTGTAGGAATGGGGGGGATCTGGTGACTAGGCAGAGAGTATCGTTATTTAAATCAGCCCTGTCCTCGGGCAAAGGAAATAGCAGAGAACAAATGGGCCCATTAAGCTCACTCCGCTGCGTCCCCTCGGAAGCTCAGTGGTGGGCGCCCTCACGGCGAGGACGCGCAGCTGTCTCCCCCGGGAAAGCCGGAGAAGCCCAAAAATCAGGAAACCAAGGAGTGAGAAAAGACTCCGTAAATGTATTCTGTTTAAGTTGCTAAGGGGAGGCGGCTTTTCCAACAAAATATTGGCTGCATACTTGGAAATACTTTGCTGAAGCAACGGGTATAAACACACAGAACGCAGCGAATTAAGCTGTAGAATATTCTTAATTGATTGTGCTCAACCTTGTGGGATATTGATCCCATATTTGTCTTTGTTTCAGTCCATCCTTTATGCAGGGCTCAGAGGCCTCATCAAAGGTTTAACAGCAGCATCAGTCACAGGCCTTTAGCATGTTTATATGTGAGCCCAATCGGCTGCTCACGGGGGACTCCTGAGGAGGTATGGCCAAAATAAAGCACACGCAGACGAGCCAGCGGCAGCAGTGTTCGCTCTGCAGCAAAATTGAATTCGGATTTATCAGAGACACCTGCCCTCACTCCACCGCGACGGGCATCGATTCGGGCGCCGTCTCCGCCCGCAGCCCGGGGCAGCTCCCTCGTTAGGCCCAGCCGCAGAGGCCACTGTGGCCGCGCCCTCCCTCCTGGCCCTCTCATTGGAACTTAATCTCTCTTTTCTGGAGTCTGCGGCGCCGTTTCGGAAGGACAGTGATGAGCAAACGCAAATTAAATTGGGCCCACAAACCAGAGCGTGGGGTCAGGACGCGCGCTGTCACCCCGTCCGGAAGGTGGGGACACGGTGTCTGTGCCAGGCTGTCTTAACTGTGTCTGTGGAGCTCATGCCGACCGGAGCGATGCTGTCGCCATGGGTTACAGAGGGCCCCTCCCAAGCAGAGATTTTCCACACACACCGGCTTTGGCCAGCCAGCCTGCTTGCTTCGTGGAGATTCAGTATTATTATCATTTTTGGTTTCTCATGTTGCCCCTCGCCAGTGATGACGCCTGTTGGGAATAGATGATTGCCTGTTGGGCTCTGGAGCCTTCTCACGTTTGAGACGCTGCGTGTGCCGCCTGGGGATGTACACGCTGCCCCCACAGAGGCCGCCGTTCCCGGGGTGCACGCCCTGCCCCTGTGTGACGTCAGAGCACAGCAGCTGAGCTGCGCCCCCGCCGGCCGGCTGCTCATTGTGCCAATTCAGGACTCTGCTCACCGGGTGTTCACACGCAGAATCCTGGCATTTGCAGCGCGGATGATCTTCACACGACAGAGGTTACTCTGCGGTGTTTTGTTATCACAGGGAATATTAATATTTCACGACACGGTTTTGATGCAGCGCTGTTGGCCGCGCCCGCACAGGATAGAGACATGGCGAGCCAGCGGGGAGGTTGCAGGTCACAGACAGGAGGGCCTGGCGGCGGGGCTGGAAGCCATGTCCTGTCCTGCTGGGGGCGGGGAGGAGGGTAAGGGGCTCCCCGGGTGGACAGCGGCTGGCGCTGGTTTCTACAGCAGATGTGTTCGGGGACTTTCTTTACTTCTCCCCGTAAGGCGGGGGGGAGTCTGCTCCATGCGTTTGATTTCCACCCGGAGACTTGTATGCTCTTGGCATTTCTCAGGGCCGATGGAGGCCTCACAGGCTGCGGCACGGAGACCAGGGCCTCCAGGGAGACGCCCCTGCTCTCTCCACAGAGAAACCCCGTCAGGCTCCCTGCGCGCCCGGGAACGGCTGCCTGACTTTAGGGAGGCAAGCGGTCAGAGGCTTCGTGTCAGCTGCACAGCGATCTGTGTTTGCTTGTGTTCAATGGCATCGAAGATGGCTTCCTTCCCAAAGCAGCCATCCCCACAGTGTCCCCACATCCCGGCTCCCCTCTCCCGGGTCCCGTTCGCGCTTTCGAAGGCTGGCATCCACAGTGCCGCCATAAAGACACGTACAATTACAAACACAATTACAGATTACTCCCGTGTAAGTGCAGATTGAGTTCAAGTGCACACTTTGAAAAAGTGGGAGAGAAATCAATTTGCCTACCGCAGTTTCAGCTAAACTCCCAGGACCTTCCAGAGAAATGCTGCGTGTAGCTGGGAAGGTAGGATTGCTCAATGGGCACAAGAACAAACTCCCGGCCTGTGTTCACGCTCTGCTGACAGGAAATCAAAGCGTTTTGTCTTTGCCTGGCCCGTGGTGGAGCATTGACCTGTGAACCAGGAGGTCACGGTTGGATTCCCGGTCAGGGCACATTCCCAGGTTGCAGATTCGATCCCCAGTAGGGGGCGTGCAAGAGGCAGCCGGCCAATGATTCTCTCTCATCCTTGATGTCTCTCTCTCTCTCTTTCCATCTCCCTTCTTCTAAAATCAATAAAAACATTAAAAAATTTTGTTTTTGTTAATTACACGGTAACTTATTTTCACCTCAGGCAGCTACACATTACATACTGCAAACATATAACATCTAACTACAGCTTGCATATCCCTTCACCACAACACACATAAATCAAGAAGTGTCTATCACCCTCCTAACCCACGTTCAAAGCCTAAGCAAAATTTCATTCTGTTGGTAAGTTGTATTTAGATATTAGAGAACTTGGGATTGACTTTTCGTAACAAAATGTCTTAGGTGCATATATGTCATTTTAATAACGTCCAATGATTGCATAAGTAGGTGAACACATGATGAGTCTCAACATAAAACACTGGAAGGTAAACACTGAGAAATATCAAAGACTCTTCGTTATTTCTTTGGACTCAAAGTATTGATTGTAGCTGTTTCCATCAACTCCAACCTCATGCACAATCACTGTGTCCAGGAAGAGTGTGATAAGTGCGTCATAAATATCTGTCGTCTCAGCGAGGGGGTAAATGAGTGTATAGATTTCTGGCGGCGGCACACTGATGGTTTCTTTTTTTAAAGTCATGTGAACAGATAGTTAACACCTGAAACATCAGCTGCTCTGAATAACGCTCCCAATTAGAGGCGAAAGGCCGATTTTAAATGTGCACATCCTGTGTTTCTTTCTAGAGTGTGTACACATGTGAACATGGCCAGGGCCTGTGCCCAGGTTGGCAGGGCACGTGCCCGGGCATTCTACGCGCATGGTGGTGCAGGCAGACAGGTTGTTGAGTGAGCCTTACAGAGGAGGAAAAGGCAGAGAATGCTGGGGGGACAGAGTAAGCGTTGCGCAGGGTCAGGACGGGACGTGGACCTTGTGAGGCCCTGTGTCCGTGGCCCTGGCAGAAGAGACAGCTGTTCCTGATCTACCAGGGGCACAGGACAGGCTGTTCTTGGGGCAACGCAGCCTGTGCAGCTGCACAGGCTCTTGAGGAATGCCCGCCTCTATTGGTCACCACCAGTGTCCTCGCCACTGACTGCCACTCCACCAGGGGCCGCTCTCACCACCCACCGCTGCATGCCAGCCCACCACAGCCAGGGATCTGTGTGTTCTGCAGGGCAGGCCGCCTGGAGCCCGCGGGCAGGGCCAGGCGGGTGTGAGGACCCGGCCTGCCTCTGGGCTGGCTTCCCCCTGGCTCACGTGGAATCGCCACTCTGGCTGAGTGTCCGCCTTCTGCCTCAGCCGTTAGATGTAAACTCTCGTGACTCCACGAGAAGAGGGGTATGGTCTACCCTGCTCCCTGCTGCAGCCCCGTGCGAGGACAGGTGTGACGGGTGGGGAAGACGCCAGGCACACGTGTGCGGTGAATGAATCGCTGCAGGCCCTAATTGGAACCACAGTTCCCCACGACAGAGCTTCTGTGGGGGGAGAGCTTCCCTTGTCCTGTCGGCAGCCTCCCTTTTCGTTCTCTTCCCAAAGTGTCTGCTGTCCTTCCCAGAGCAAGATTCGCAGGCTGGTTACCGTGTAGGCGGGCCGTTCTCCCACGTGGCTTTGCGCAGGCCATGTGATTGCACTTGCCCACATCGGCACAAACCCCGAGCACCTGTCAGCCAGGCGCGAACGCAGGGGGTAACATCGTCAGGACTGAACATGCTGAAAATAACACTCAGACTTGTTAGGAAACATTTCACAAACATGTTGCATAATCCTGGTTTCGAGGCAGGGTACCTCTGTTTGAATGACAGTACAGAAAAAGCACAGTTACTTTTGCAGTGCGTTTTAGAAATAAAGACCTAGACTTTTTTAAATTTCTTTATTGATTAAGGTGTTACATATGAAACCTTTATTTTATCACTGAGTTTCTCCATGACCTTATCATGAAAGTCTATGAAACCACAAAGGAACAGCAGCCCAATGCATTATTTCTGCTGCTATAGTGCTAGTTTCCAATTTGGTCCGTCACCATTTTCTACAGAGAGTGGTATCGTCTCCTGATGTATACCTACGCATAAAAATGAAG